ATGGTCCTCTGTTGACATGAAACATTTTTAAAATGAGAATAATGGTAACACTTTCACCAAATTTTAAAGAGTAAAGGAATTAGTTAATTGGAAAATATCTGGAAATTATAGATATGTCCATATTTCTATTTCAAAGCCTATATTCTGAAATGTGAGTTAAGAATTTCACATAATTTCTGGAGAAATAGGAATGCTTTTACACTGTTGGTGGGAGTGTAAATTAGTTCAACCATTGTGGAAGACAGTGTGGGGATTTCTCAAGGACCTAGAACTAGAAATACCATTTGACCCAGCAATCCTATTACTGGGTATATACTCAAAGGATTATAAATCATTCTATTATAAAGACACATGTACACGTATGTTTACTGCAGCACTATTTACAATAGCAAAGACTTGGAACCAACCCTAATGCCCATCAATGATAGACTGGGTAAAGAAAATGTAGCACATACACACCATGGAATACTAGCCATAAAAAAGGATGAAATCATGTCCTTTTCAGGGACATGGATGAAGCTGGAAACCATCATTCTCAGCAAAGTAACACAAGAACAGAAAACCAAACACCACATAGTCTCACTCATAAGTGAAAGTTAAACAACAAGAACACATGGACACAGGGAGGGGAACATCACACACTGGGGCCTGTCAGGGGTGGAGGTATAGGGGAGGGATAGCATTAGAAGAAATGCCTAATGTAGATGATGGGGTGATGGATGCAGCAAACCACCATGGCATTTGTATAACTATGTAACCTGCACATTCTGCACATGTACCTGAGGAACGTAAAGCCTATTTAAAAAAAAAGAATTTCACTTGATGTCTAGAGTTTCTATATCATTTTATTTTTAAGAAAATTTATTTTAATACCTGTGTCTCAGGCACCATATTAATGAGTTAGGATAAAAATTAAATATAACATAGTTTCTACTCTTAAAAAAGTATAACTTATAACTCTAAATGAGAAATAAATAAGTAAAAGTGAAGTGTTAAGTGAATGATGATGCTAGCAAAATGCTACAAAAGGAAGATTTTATAATCAAAGTTGAGTGAGTAAACAATGAGACTGTGATGTGGGCTACGTGATGAAAGTTTTTTAGACAGAAAACTCCAGAAATATTAATAATACTAAGATGTACTCTATACTTTCTACATGCTAGATACTATGCTAAGCATTTGGTAGGTATTTTCTGATAAAAATAATGTTTCCAATTTCACAAAGAAAAAACAAAAAAAAAAAACCTTGGTGTAATTTAGCTCATACAGAGACATGATAGAACTTATCCAAGATCATACAACTGGTATATGACAGAGGTGGGACTGAGATGAGCATTGCCTTATTCAAATCCTGAATAAATAAATATGTTCAGTGAAAAAAAACCACTGTGGCATGTTGCCAGAAGGTGTTCATTGAATCCAATCTTAAGAAACTTGAAATTTTTTCTGTAGTCAAAGCAACACAATGTAATCTAGCATATCATTTGTTTGTTATATCATCGACTTTAGGTTCAAATTTTGGAAATCCGGGATTGTTGCATAAAGCATTTTCTGTTTCAGCTCAGATTTAAAAGCAAGAAATAATGTCAAAAGTAATGAAACTATGAAGAAAATGTACACTCAATGAAATATTTTTTCATACTAATTATGGATTCATTTTGTAATATTGTTTTCCTACAATTTTTAACAAAATAATGTGACATTGTTCCAATATTTAATTTTTGCAAATTCTAATCAACGTAATTAACTTGAATAATTTTAAAATTCAAGTATTATAAAGGATTCATAATAAAGCTACAGTCCACTGTCTGACCATATATTTCTACCAGCTCTGTTTCTCTGAGGCAACCAATGAGCCTACATAATATACAGTCTCATTCTACTACTTATTGACTTGATACTTTAGGTCTTGTCTCTCCATATTGTGCAAAGAGGTAAGACTTTAGCTTATGAATACTACCACTCTATTTATTTAAATCCAGTAATTATGTCACTATTCTAATTTCTTTTCACCTCAACACTCGGACAGGCATTCCTAAACCCTATGTTTTTTATGTCATAATCCATAGACTCCCTATTTGCCTCTTCATTCATAGGCTACTAAATGGCTCTCCATTCAGTAAGCAACCTAAGTTCCACTTCTAATGCCTGTTTTCTTTTTCTTTCTCTTTCTTTTTTCTTTCTTTCTTCCTTTCTTCTTTCTTTCTTCTTTCTTTCTTTCCTTTCTTTCTCTTTCCTTTTTCTTCTTTCTTTCTGTTTCTCTTTCTCTTTCTTTTTCTTTCTTCCTTTTTTGAGATGGAGTCTCGCCCTGTCATCAGGCTGGAGTGCAGTGGTGTGATCTTGGCTTACCTCAACCTCTGCCTCTTGGGTTCAAGCGATTCTCCTGCCTCAGCCTCCCAAGTAGCTGGGATTACAGGCATGTGCCACAATTGCCCAGCTAATTTTTATATTTTCAGTAGAGACAGGATTTCACCATGTTGGCCAGATTGGTCTCAATTTCCTGACCTGTGATCTGCCTGCCTTGGCCTCACAAAATGTTAGGATTACAGGCATTAGCCACCGTGCCCAATGTCGTTCTTTTATACATTACTTTTACATTTTTAACGTGACTAATATTTACATTCTCAAGAGTTTGAGACCAGCCCAGCCAATATGGTAAAATTTTGTATTTTTAGACTCTACTAAAAATACAAAAATTAATTGGGTGTGATGGTATGTGCCTGTAGTCCCAGCTCCTCAGAAGGCTGAGGCAGGAGAATTGCTTGAACCCAGGAAGCAAAGGCTGCAGTGAGCTGAGATTGCACCACAGCACTAGCACTACAGCTGGTTGACAGAGTGAGACTCCATCTCCAAAATAAATAAATAAATATTTACATTCAATTTTTGAAACCATTGCTATATTCATTATTTGGCTATAGATCAACTAAAAACATTCATAAACATATCATATCATTTACACTTTACAGTAATATAAATGTTCTTCACCAAAAAGTCAAGAAGTCTGCTAAAATTATCTATAGTTCCTTTGCATCCAAATCCATAAATCTTCTGCTTCTCACTAGTACATGTTTTAACCATCAAATTTCATAAGACTCCTCTGATTCATACATCCCTAGTTTCCTAGAACTCATTCCCAAGTTTTCTCAAGCCAGCTCAAAGTTGTTCTAAGTGGGTATCAGAAAGGGAGAAGGAAAATAGCTTGCTGTTCTCAGACTTTCTATTAAACCACATAATTTTATTACCACTTATTACCACAATTATCTGATTCCTTTGTCCTCTCTGAATCCAGAGCCTCGTCAATGTTCAATGAATCAGATTGATTCTCTCTCAGCCTTGAGTTCTCTTTGGGGATTGTTGGTTTTTCAGAATTCTCTGCTACTCATCCATCAGCATTCTTCTGTTTTCATTTTGTGTAATAAAATATGCATTAAAATGTTTTATTTAACTTTTGAAAATTTTTCTATTATTTGAAGGCAAGAGGAATAATATGTGCACTTGGTTCAGCATAATGAATTAAAACTGGTGTTAATATTTTGATTAATTGATGATACCCTCCTAATTCTAACTCTTTTCATCTAACCTTCCCTGTCTTTTACTGATTCCATAGTTGAAATTTCTTACAATAATACAGAATGTCAGGATTAATGCAAACATTGGTACTGTAAATAAATAAAGAAACTGGTTACAGTTTTCTGATGCTTCCCACTGAGAAATAGTACTCTCATTTCCTCCCATTTGTCTTTTCTTTTCTCCACCATCAGAAGAAGAGTTACTTGGGTCATAAAGACTTATTTTTATTTTCCTTAAAATATACTCTTTTTAACATACACCGAGGAAAAGAGTGTCTTCAATATGTGGTGATGGGAAAACTGGATAGTCATATGCAAAAGAATGAAACTAGAACCCTATCTCTCACCATATACAAAAATCATATCAAAATGGATTAAGGACTTAAATCTAAGACCTCACACTATGAAACTACTACAAGAAAAGTTTGGAGAAAATTTCCAGGATATTGGGCTGGGCAAACATTTCTTGAGCAATACCTCAAAGGCACAAACAACCAAGGCACAAAAGGACAAATAGGATCACATCAAGTTAAAAAGCTTCTTCACAGCAAAGGAAACAACCAACAAAGTGAAGAGACAATCCACAGGATGAGAGAAAATATTTTCCAACTAACTCTCTACCAACGGAGTAATAACCAGAGTATACGAGGAACTCAAACAAATCTATATGAACAAAAATCTAATAATTTGATCAAAAAATGGGAAAAAGACTTGAAAAGACATCGTTCAAAAGATCTATAAATGACAAATAAGCATATGAGAAGGTACTCAACATCACTGATCATCAGAGAAATCCAAATCAAAACTACAATAAGATATTATCTCACCCCAGTTAAAATGGCTTATATCCAAAAGACAGGCAATACACAATGCTGGTGAGGATGTAGAAAAAAGGAAACCCTCACACACTGTTGGCGGGAATGTAAATTAGTACAACCACTATGGAGAACAGTTCGGCAGTTCCTTACAAAAACTAAAAATAGAGTTACCATATGATCCAGAAATTCTACTGATGGTTATACACCCAAGAGAAATAAAGTCAGAAGGTTGAAGAGATAGCTGCACGCCCTTGTTTGTTGCAGCAAACAAACAAACGATAGTCAAGATTTGGTAGCAACCTAATTGTCCATCAACAGATGAATGAAGAAAGAAAATTTGGTACATATACACAAGGGAGTACTATTCAGCCATGAAAAATAATGAGATTCAGTCATTTGCAACAACATGGGTAGAACTGCAGATAATTATATTAAGTGAAATAAGTCAGGTATAGAAAGGCAAAAATCACATGTTTTCCTTATTTGTGAAATCTAAAAATCAAAAAATTGAACTCATGGAGGTGGACAGTATAAAAATGGTTACCACAGGCTGGCAAGAGACCGGGGGACTGTGGGAGAGGTAGGGATGATTAATGGTTACAAAAACATTCTTAGAAAGAATGAATAAGACCTACCGTTTAATAGCACAACAGGCTGACTACAGTTAATAATAACATAATTGTACATTAAAAAAAAACTAAAATAATGTAATTGGGTTGTTTGTAACACAAAGGATAATTGGGTGAGGGGATGGAGACCGCATTCTCCATGATGTGATTATTTCACATTGCATGCCTGTATCAAAACATCTTGTGTACTCCTTTCATTTATACAATACCCAGAAAAATAAAAAATTAAAAATGCCTCTTCTTTTAACTGTAGTTTTAAGCCCACAGAAAAACTGAGCAGAAGTACAGAGTTCTCACAAGCTCCTTGATCCACATGCATACAGCCTCTTCCACTAGCAACATCCCATGCCAAAGTGGTACATTTGTGATCATCCATGAACCTACATGGACACATCATTATCACCCCAAATTCCTAGCTTACATTAAGGTCCTCTTTTGGTGTTGTACATTGGATGGATTCTGATAACTGTATAATGATGTACATCCACCATAACAGCATCATACAAAATAGTTTCACTGCCCTACAAAAATCTTCTCTTGCTTTAACTATTCATCCTTCCCTCTTCCCTAACCCCTGGCAGTCACTGATCTTTTTATTGTATTCATAGTTTTGCCTTTTCCAGAATGTCATATAGTTGGAATTACACAGTACATAGCCTTGTCATATTGACTCCTTTCACTTAGTAATATGCATTTAAGTTTATTCCATGTATTTTCGTGGCTTGATAGCTAATTTCCTTTTAGCACTGAAAAGTAATTCCATTTTCTAATATAACATAGTAGATTTATCCATTCATCTACTGAAAAATATCTTAATTGCGTCCAAGTTTTGGCAATTATGAACAAAGCTGCTATAAATATCCATGTGAAGGCTTGTAATTGTAATTTTTTCTTTGATAAATGTCAGTTAATATGTGAACATTTATTTGTGATGGAAAATGCATCAAGTCTTCGAAAATACAAACCAATAATGCTAAGTATATTTGTTTAAAAAGTCCTTCATAAGCAATGTAGATATTTTCAACATTGAGATATTCTCAATTCCTTCTTTATGAAGTTTTGACAGTTTTCTCAAGGAGAATCTGGCAAAGGAGTTCGAAGTGGTATGTACAAACCATTGGAAAACAATCACAGTAGTTGTATTCTTGTGGGAAAAAAACAAAACCAGGGTCGTCTCAACTGGATAAAAGGTTTTAAATTTTATTTTGTAGTTTAGAAACTCAAGGCCATGTAATCTATCTTTCAAGGTCTTCCTGAGTGAAATGGTAGCTACTCAGCCATTTGATCAATGCTTCAGCTACAGACTGACAATTCTATTTCACTCTTTCATCCATCATCCTTGGTATATTTCCTCTGGGTTTGAGATCCTCACAAAAAGTCATGTAACTAAGAGGGGCATTCTATTCCCTGGTTGTTGATCTGAGCAAATGATTTGCTTCCATTATGCTGCCACTGTGAATACACAATTTGTATTAATTTCATATTTGCTTTTGTATAACATACTTAAAAGATACTTGAATCTAAAATTTAGCATCTAACTCTTATGCTTAAATTTTTCAAGATAGTGGCACAATAGTCCTCCTTTGTCTTACGGGAAGGTTTGCAACTCTAATTGGTTATGTCAGTTTACCTCACTCCCTGTAGCTTTTCCGGAATAATTTGTTCCTGAAAATGCTGTTAGTTAGTCTCCATATCTCTCTCAAATGTAGAAGACCTAAGTCCAATCTTATACCTAATCCTGGTTCTTTGTTGGCCAATAATTGATGTTAGAGTTCTTCTCATAAAAATCTCACGTTTCTGCATAAGCTTTAGCTAACAGAGACATTTTGATATTTGATAGGAAAAGAAAATGATAACCTCTGTCCTCAGTTTCTTTTGATTACACTTAGCCTCTGTCAAACAGTTATCGAGTCAGGCTGCATGACCTCGTGATCACAGAGGTTCCTTTCTGCTCAAGAAAAACATACAACCTAATTGATACAGCAAGTTTGTGGACAAAGTCTAGCTGTATCAATGGAATAACAGTCTAGCTGTTTTCCTGAATGGAATTCTACTCCTCACTTGTACTTTTCAGTAAGGTTTTCTGAATCTCTCACAGATGAGTACATGTAATTTTGTAATACCAAAAGATTAGGATGTTAATATCTTGATGTTAATATCAAGCAAAAAAAATATGGAAAATTCTCTAAATTGGAAAATTCTACCAGGAACAATGGAGAAGCGAAGCTAGTTTATAAGCATAAATAAATAAAACATTTTATTAAGCATAAATACAGTTTCTAAGAGTAGGATATATTTTTGCTCCAGTTTTAATATCATTCTGCAATACGTTTTTCTTTCTTCCAGACTATTGATAGAAAACACACTTGTATATGAGAGCTACTGCCATCCAAAAAGGCAATTATTACATTCAGTGTTTTCATACTATTCTTGTCTTCATTGATCTTCAACTGCATTGCAATTACCTTATTACTAATGATTAAGTACATATTTAGAAATTATTTCTAAAAGATTCAAATTATCCCTATGATAATTGTATTCTACTTGCATTCCAATCTGCTTTACTTGAGTGAGGGATAGAAGAATGAAATTACTTGTAACTTTACACAACTTTTGACATGATTAGAACTGAGCACATCCTACAACCTAGGTGATAGCCAGTAGTAAATGACTGCAATCATGCATTTTATTGTGATTTATTTTTCTTCAAAACTACCTTCATTTTTGTCATCAAATTTTGAATATACAGTGGAAATATTCCCTGCATGCAGCCATGTTTTCTAGCATTTCGTTGCCTTCGTTTGATTCAGCATGTCACTTTCTTGTACTTTCTAAGGAACTCATTCTAAAACTCTTTACCCTCTCAAATGAATGTTGGTCAAGAGTGGAAATACGGTAAAGTCCCTCCTATTAAAAGAAAAAGTCTCACAACCATAATGAAAACATCTTCCTTTAAATCTATGTCTTCCCTCTCTCTCTCTCTCTCTCTCTCTCTCTTTATCCTTACTACTCTCTCTTCAATATTTTTAGACAACCTCATTTTGTACTTTACGTTTTACTCTTTATACTTCACCTCCTTCTCACTGGTCAAAACATTCCAGCCTTGCTTCCATCACCAAACAGATCTTTCTAGGCTTACCAAGGATCATTATGTCACTGAACAAAGTGGATGTTGCTGAGTCCATGTGTAACATAAACCTTGGTGGTAGGTAATAACTCCCTCATTCTCAGAACTGTCTTTTTTTCCAAGCTTCCATGGCCCCGCACACTCCCGAGTTAGCCCTGCCTTTTTGGTTATATCCATTCTTTCTCATGTGTTCAACCTGTCCATTAAATATTTGGAATTTCTCAACTGATTCGTAGATTCTTTTCTTTTTCTCATACTAAATATTTTCACTAGGAAACGTCATTTGGCTACTACATATTGCAGATGATTTTCTAATTGATGTCTCCATTCTAGACCTCTTCATAAACTTGTTATCTCCAATTAGATATCTTTGAAACAAAAATCATAATATTGTCCCCTCTCTACCACCTACTGGTCATATTCTGTTCTCTCCTACCACAATGGAAGGCCCCACTATACAAATCAGTCATGACTTGACTGATGGTCAAGTCCACCCAGTCATGCAAGCTGGAAATCCTGACATCCCCTTTTGCTTAACCATCACACCCCACTTCCAATTCATTATAAACTGCTATTTTTACCTTAGAAGGCTCTGTTAAATCTATCCTTTATTCTTGATTTTCAAGGTCACCATTCTAACCTAAGTCACTCTTTTCCCTGCAAAAAAATCTCTGGCTGATTTTTCTGCTATCAGCTTTAGTTAGTCCTCACCTAGGGAATTTTCCTCACTGCAGACAGATTTAATTTTACATCCTGAATCTTGTCATCTTACCCATATTCTTAAAATAATTTAGTATCCCTCTACTGCATTTAGAATAAAAGACAAACTTTAGGGTATCTGTAGGGTGATGTCTGTTCTGGTCCTTGCCTACATTTTTAGCCCTGTCCTGTATCTTTTGTCCCTTTGGCAGCTATATTGCACACAGTACAAGTACATTTTTAGAAATAATTTTTAAAAGATTCAAATTATCCCTATAATAGTTGTTTTCTATTTGTATTCCAATCTGCTTTATTTGAGTGAAGGATAGAGGAATGAAGTTAGTTACAATTTTACACAACTTTTGAAATGATTAGACCTCTTTTCTGGGAATGCTAATTTATATAATCTTCTTTGTTTTCCCACCTAGATAATAAAGCCATTCCATATTTTATTGTAATGATCCATATTGTCTTGTACACAGATGGCAGCAATTTTTTTGTCTTTACCTGTTGAGATTGATCACTGAGTAATTTAATTACTTTTTTTTTTTTTTTTTTTAGATCTCCAAATGGTGTTTATATAGTCAGTTAGATTTTGGCATCATTCATTGGTTTTTTAACCCATATATTTAATAGGCATTGATTAAACACCAGTCAGAATGATTTTGAAGTTTTGATATCAGGAGAAGTAAGTCACGAGTTGGATCAGGCTGGGAACTTGATCTTGTTAATGAGTTGGCGATGAAGAAGGCATAACGTGGCACCACCATTCTCCGTGTTCTGTTTATGTCACGGACTAAACGCTCTCACATGCTAAGCAAAAGACTCTCACTTTCAGCTTGTTTCCTCTATCATGTTACCATCAGACTTCACCATCATAAAACAACACAATATCTTTAAAAACTTTGTAATGTGTCACTTTTGGAGAATGTGATTGAAAGGAGTGTTTTCTTTTTCCACAGGAGCCACACTGCAAACATTGGAGCCAGCTTAAAGCATAAACAAAATAACATCTCTGCCTTAAAGCATTCACCTTCTATGTTAATTTCAGGTCTTTTAAAAACCATGCTGAACGCTCACTGACTACACTTTAGGAATGCTTTTTACAACTTTCTGCTCCTCTTACTAATTTAGCGACACTACCCTTTTCCAAGTCCACATTGTATCTCACCTGCATCTTAACTCCAATTTGTTCCCTTGGCCTAAAGTCTTTCCTCTTCAATGGATCCTGCACACTGGTGTTATCAGCATTATCTCACTCTATGTCTAATAAAAGATACACTCTTCTTGCCCTGTTTTCTCAGTATATCATGTCTTTTCACAAACTGTTACCTCTGAACACAATGTTCCCTCTGTCAGAATACTCTCCTTCCTCTTTCTTCTTCACTTGTCAAACTCCTACCCATTCTTCAAGACTGAGCCCAAATGTCATCACTTGTGTGATGCATTCCCTATCTCCCTCAGGCAGGATTACTCATTCTTTCATGATGCTCCCAGAGGATATCATTATTTCTTATGCATAGTACTGCCATTGAGCTTTTAGTGCTCTTTCACTAGGCTGTGAGTTCTTTAAAGAAAAGAACTATATCTTATTCATCACCACGGGGAAAGTACCCTACCTTGCACATAGTAGGTACTCTATCTATATACATTGACTCAAGGCAAAATGGGATATAACAATATCACTTATAATATGACACATTAAAAATTTATCTAACTTTCCCAAAAAAGAAAAGGATTCTCTCTAAAGCAGAAAATAACAACAAAAATTTCAGATAAAAGGTGCAAGATATCCATCTGCAGAGAGCTTATATCAGTGTTCATTATTGGGAAACTGAAGAAGAAAGATCACATATAGGTACTACTTGTGGACATGTGGCTGATTGAGAAGACACATGCCAAAATGTCTTAGCCAGTTTTCCGTCTTGGGAAAATGAAAAGTAAATTTTATCAGACTCAATTTCAGACAGTCATTTGAGCCTTGAATAATAGAGCTGACCTGTATACAAATTTGTCATTTTTTTTTTACTAGCAATTTTAAGTTTTCTTTTAAAAGATGACCAATTTAACCAGATAGTGTCACATCTTTTAAATTAATGAAGAACATATTTCCTGCGACAAATATGGCGTAGTCTTCAGTGAATGGTACTACATCCACACTGAAATATGTACACTTAGTAAAGTGGTAATACAAACTTACAAAATGGTATAGCATTATACACAATGATTTCATATTGAAAGTTCCCTTTATGAGTGGGAAAAGAATGTCAAAGTGTTTTGTTGAAGGTCTCTTTTCTAGTCAGGACCAGAAGCTGGTGCTTTTAATTTTAAGCACAGGGCTTCTTTTGATGTTTATAGTGGGTCCTCAAACACGGGGCACTTATATTGCAATGACTGGAGTTAAAATATCATTTCTAACTAATAATTTTTTAAAACACAGAAATGCTAGCAATATATAAATAACACATTTCTTATAAACTATGAGTTTTCATTTGTCATAAACTACTTAAAAGTTTCATTTTGTGGATATTACTTATAAGTGTATAAAACCCTTTTTATAAAAGCAGCAGACATAATTTAACTTAGTAAGAATATTATAAAGGAACTTGTTCTAAAAATTTTTCCTAATAAAGCATACAGCCTTTTAATAAAAAGCATTATTCCTTTAATTTATCATGTTTCCAATGATCATTCTTTTGTTTGGCTCCAACACAAACATTAGGGTTATTTTGGGAAAAATTGGAATAATAGCTCAGAGTTGAACAAATACATAGGCATTCATTTGATGTTTGTACCTTGAAGGCTAGCTTCCTTTTTCTTTATCTTTTTCTGGCCCTGTCATAGGATATTACTGGACCAATAACATCCCTTGTTTCCCAAATCATCTAGAGATCACAAATTTTTACTTTACTTAGTTTTGCTTTCTAAAGAAGACAGTCCTGTATGAACAAATATGAGTGTAAATTAATTATATAAGTTTGGTGTCTAAAAGAGAATTATTCACCTTTGAAGCTATCCACATTTGCAGTGTTCTACAAAGTTAGACATTCTATTGAATCTGTTATCTCCTCAGAGCAAAGTAAACTGGTTGACTAGAAGGTGTGCTGATTCTCCTCTATTAAAAATGAATCCATGCACTCTCAGCTGACGGAATATGTTTTTATGGTTTCTACCTTCTAAACCAAATTCTTCTCTTCATTGACAATACTGTGAGTTTTTTCTGTACACAATAGTAATAACATTAAAGCTGTTTCTCAAGGGTACATGGAGATAGTTTTTATTTATATAAACCAGAATACATCCTATTATTGCTGGAAAGCGTGAACTAGTTATCCACATGACTCCTTGCTGATTTGCTTTCTTTCCAGTTTCTTCTCTAGCTAATTCATCATAGTTCTCCTAAAATGTTACTTTGTACATATTACGCCCTGCCACAAAAACTTTATGCGATGCTCATTGTATATATAATCAAGATAAACATGTCAGTTTGGCTTTGTAGGCTCTACAATAGGCATGGTTTCTTGTATATTGCTCTATGTTTACCTGAATTCCTAGGGATAGAAATGGAAAATTTAAAATATGGCCACTATTATTCATGTAGATATGTTTAAATCAAGAATCTGTACTTCAGGCCAGGCTCAGTGGCTCACTCCTATAATCCCAGCACCTTGGGAGGCTGAGGCAGACAGATCACCTGAGGTCAGGAGTTTGAGACCAGCTTTGTCAACATGTGAAACCCCATTTCTACTCAAAATACAAAAATTAACTGGGTGTAGTGGTGTGTGCCCATAATCCCAGCTACTCAGGAGGCTGAGACAGGAGAATTGCTGGAATCTGTGAAGTGGAGGCTGCAGTGGGCCAAAATCGTGCCACTGCACTACAGCCTGGGCAAGAAAGGGAGACTCCATCTCAAAAAAAAAAGATGATGATAAAGAAACTGTACTATAGATAGGAATATTCTCCATTTAGTATTTGCATATAAACAAAATCACATCTTCCTTCAAGCAATGATAATGCTTAACAGATTAGATACAATAATTATTCTGAGCAATTTAAGACACCAATCATTTAGCCAAGATTAGACTTGACTGTTCTTTAGAACCAGCTATTAGCAAAGAAATCCTCAAGGATACAATCTGATTGTATAAATGTTCAGTTTGTGCTTTAAGAGTGTACTGCTACCATGTAGTACCATGCTTTTTGTTTATTGTCTAATGAGCATCCTTCATATATATTTGAGGAATGTGGCTTCCTTTGGAGTGGTGTGATTAGTTATCGATGCACCTGTTTCTAGTAGTCTCTATATTCTAGTCATGTGAAGTGTCTAATATATATTCATTAAGTACATTCTGTTGATCATGTTAATAATTTCAGTAACTTTACTGGAATTTTTGTTTAATTGTTTTATTAATTACTGAGAAAGGTGTGTTAAAACTCTCCACCATGATTTGTCTATTTCTTTCTGTAATTTTGTCAATTTGGGCTTATTTATTTTTGAAGGTATATTATTAAGAGCTTACAAATTTAAACTTGTTTCTTTCTAGTAAATGAAGTGTTTATAATTATGAAGTGATCCTCCTTGTATTTAAATAACTACTTTTTTGTTCAAGTATATTTCATTCATTATTAACATTGCCTGTGAACTTTCTCTTAGTTATTATTTACATGGTAAGATATTCCTCACCTTTTACTTTCAGTCCTTCAGCAACTTATATGATACATAACTTTCTTATAACCAATATTTAGAGTTTGAATTTATTTTCAGTCCAATTTAAAAATTTCTAACTTTTAAATAAAATTCTTTTTCCTTCCGCTTACTGTAATGCCTAATATATTTAGGTTCATATCTATGTTATTCTGCTTCTTGTGTATAGTGCTTTACATTTCCTTCCTTGATTTTTAATCTTTCTTATGTTTTCCAGGTGTATCATTTCATTATTATTGTCCCATTTTTTTAATCATTGTTTAGAATTTATTTACTTGCTAATCATTCAATGATACTTTAGAAATTACTACATACATAATTGATTTCCTTGAGTAATATGACAACTTGGGGCACTTTCATTCCATTTACCCTCACTCCTGACCTACTACTGTGAATTTTAATGCTGAATTTTTTTTTTCTTTTGCAGAAAGTGAATTATTTTAGGTAAAGAGAATAAAGGAGAAGAAGAGAGGAAGAGAGGAAACTTCCACATGAGAAAGGGGGGCGGGGAGGGAGGGAGGGAGGGGAAGGGTATCAAAACATAGAGTCCAATGCTGCAATTTTAAACATGTAAAACAACATTGTTTTGTGTAGTTAATGCACATATTGTTTAGCCCACATATTTAGAATGTATTTGCATTGCATTTTCTCTTACCTCTCCAATCCATTTTATGAGACTACTTTCTTAACACCGAAAGAGCATCTGTTAAAATTTTATACAGTGGGAAAATTCTAGTTTTCGTTTTTCTGAAAATGTCTTTATTTCACCTGCAATATTGAAGGAGAGATTCTGAAGATATATAACCCTAATTTAGTAATCATTTTCTTTCAGACTCTTGGAAATTTTATTTTGTTGTATTCTGGCTTCCAACTGTTACTGTTGTGAAATAAGCCCTAAATTGAATTGCGATTCCTTTCAAGAAAATTCTTCTGCTATGACTGATTTAAGAGCTCCTTTTTGTATCTGGTATTCTGAAATTTAATTTTCATATGTCTAGGTGTGGATAATTGTGTTCTACATGGAATTCACTAGAATTCTTGAACCTGTAAATTCTATTCTTTTATCGGATCTTGAAAGCTCAGCCATCACCTTTCTTCTCTGTTCCATTCTCTATCTTATTTCCTACTGAAATGTGAATAAAAATATTTTACAGCATCTCAGTCTTAATCTCTACTTCCTTCATTTAATTGCTGCCTATATTAACACAATTAACTAATTCCTTTTTTGACCATGCCTAATTCTCCTATTTTGTACCTTTTGTGGAGTTTTTATTTGGGATTTTTGAAGTTTTTATATCTGGAAATTGTAGCGACTTGATAAATTTTAAAGAATTTTCTGGGACCGGGACAGTGGCTCACGTCTGTAATCCCAGCACTTTGAGAAGTGGAGGTGGGCAGATCTTGTGAGGCCAGGAGTTGGAGACCAGCCCGGCCAACATGGTGAAACCCCGTCTCTACTGAAAAAATACAAAAATTAGTCAGGCATGGTGGCACGTGCCTATAATCCATGTGAAACCCCGTCTCTACTGAAAAAATACAAAAATTAGTCAGGCGTGGTGGCACGTGCCTATAATCCAAACTACTCAGGAAGCTGAGGCAGCAGAATCGCTTGAACCCAGGAGGCAGAGGTTGTAGTGAGCCAAGATCACGTCACTGTACTCCAGCCTGGGCAACAGGCAACAAGAGTAAAACTATGTCTCAAAAAAAAAAAAATCTATAAATTAATTATTGCTTTTATGTGTTTAAACTCAGTAAACATTTATATAATCATCTGTGCATAACTATGTGAAACATATTTGGGTCTGTTTCTGCTTATTTATGATGTATGTTTTCCCTGTGTTTATTTTGAGCTTCCTATTTTTCTTCAATATATTTATGAGACTACCTATAAGCCTAGTAAGTTTCAGGGCCCATTAAGGTTTGCTTATTCAAGTGGCTAGAGCCACTAACAGTTCTTCCTTCACCCTAAACAGATTTTTTTTTTTTTGGACCTTGCAGGTAATGTTAATTTGAGTTGCAATTCAGCCTGTTGGCTGACTTGTATGTGTCATATCCCAGGGATGGGCTTATTTGTTTTATTCTTTGACTTTGCTTCATTGAGTGTCAAGGCAAATTTTCTTGCATTTTCTTATGACTTCGGCAGAGGGAGGGTGATAGTCAACTGCTATTATAGCTTTTGGAGTCCCAACTTTATATAACAAGTGTCCATAAGGGCTTTCCATGTTGAGATAACTACCCAAAGAATTAAGTATACACTCTTCCGTGAAAGTTTATTCAGTGTTCTCTCTACCTCTAGCTTTATATCTTCACTTATTTTTGTCCCTCATAACTCTTTTATTTACTTATTTATTTATATATTTATATTTTGAGATGAAGTCTTGCTCTGTTGCCCAGACTGGAGCACATTGGTGCAATCTCAGCTCACTGCAACCTCCACCTCCCAAGTTCAAGCAATTCTGCTTCCGCCTCCCTAGTAGCTGGGACTACAGACATGCCCAGCCATGCCCAACTAAATTTTTTTTTTTTTTTGGTAGAGATGGAGTTTTACCATGTTAACCAGGCTGGTCTCGAACTAGTGACCTCAAGTGATCCACCCACCGCAGTCTCCCAAATAATCCTTATACTAACTTAGAGTATTTTCCCACCAGAAAAGTCTGTAATTCCATATTTAACTGTGAATTCTATTGTGAACTTCTACCTTTTAAAGGTGTGGGAACTTGGGCTCAAAGAACTGAAGAGGATATTGGAGTTATTTTAGAAGAATGACAATTTTACATTTTTACATTTTTTGATGTTCTAGTTAGACATGTCTTAACTCTCCACATAGTCATAAAGGACCTCATGGTGAAAGGTTTTCTCTTAAATCTCTGTTCTACTCAGTAGACCGCCTAGTGCCTAGCACATATGTATTTTCCTTTATTGAAATTTGGCAGTGTTCGTTTCCTAAAGATATATTTCCATTCCTTGAGAAAGTGAAAAGACCAGAGTTAATTTCAAAAGCCTCAAATATGTCTCAATTAGTTTTTAGGAAGTTTGCTTTAATTAGCAAAAAATGCAAAAATAACTTGACATTTACTTTAATCAGAGAAAATGATATACTATTAACATCGGTTCTGAATTTTTCTCTAATACTTGGAAGGATTCATCCAAATCTTTCTTAATTTCCACTTTGTGAGTGCAACCCATGCTTATATTTATGCGTCCCTCCTATATGTAACCCACTACAACCATGCAATGTACCCAAAACACACACGCACGCAGACACACACACACACACAAAACCAGACTATTTTCTGATTAAAATCAGAAGAATCCTATTTGGACCAAATTTGTTGTTTCAGAGATCTTAAAAGTTTCTGGAATGTGAAAATGTAGGTAAAAGACAGCAAATGTGGATAAAAGACAGCATTCCCTAGATTAGAACTTAAGACTTAAAATTTTAATGACAGTTATTTGCATCTTATAAGATAAATGACTAGTCTGCCCCTATTAGCAAGGAATTGAAATGCCAAGGGGTGTTTTAGGAATAATGAAGAAAAACTGGCAAGTTATTTTTGCAAGTATTCTATAAACGCTGAAATATATAGATCATCTGAACAATATACTTAATATATATGCCATCATATGTCCTAAACACTTTTTAAATCAATTTATAATTTTTGTTTTCTGGCCAACTAAAATGTGATAAAAATTGCCACTGGATACACAGTCTACTTCAGAAGAGTCTCATAATAGAAAACATCTGTGAAAATTACCAGGTTGAATTGTATTAACTTTCAGAAGTTGGGAGAAAAGTCTGACCTTTCAAGAACTTATCCTAGTAGAATATTTAGAGGGATGCGCCATGGGGTTCAGTAAAAATCAATACCAAACTCCATTGCAGTTCCTTTTTTCCCCAGTGGCAACCTATTTCTAAATGTGAGAGAAAGATACAATAATCTAGCTACCCAGTGATTGCACTGTTCTGAATTCTCCAGAAACACTCAAATATTTTTTTAAACCTTGCTTTAGAGCTTTTTAATCCATCTTGAGTACTAGTGATCCTTAATGCAGTGTAAGAGAATGCAACATCTTCACTTCTTGGCAACTAAAAGTTGCTAGTAAACTTAGTCTCTGAAATAAGATTGTCTGTATTTATGAGATTATCTGTATTTAGTCTCTAAAATAAGATTGTCCATATTTATGGGTGTAACCTGTATTTATAAGAAGTAAAAAAGGTAAATTTAACTTACTTAAAATTTGATTAGATATAAATTAACTTATGTGTGCTGTCATTTTTTGTTAAATGTTTTATTTTGGGGAAATCAAAGAAAAGTAATAATAATAAGATGTCTTAAAATCATAATAATCATCAGAGCCTCAGAAAATGGATTAATGATGAGAGTATGTGAAGTCTACTATTCTGAATGAAAGTTTAGAACTTGTAGGTATATTACTGTTTCCTTCCTCTTATTTTTCTTTTTAATTTTCATTCAGATTAGGCCAATAATCAAAGAACCTGGATCAGTTAAATGTCTAACCTTATTCCCCACCTAGATTCAATAAATCAAATGTGTGTGGCTTTGTACAAACCACTGGGAGGAAGACTTAGACAAATCTTAACCTTGAGGAACTTCAAGTACAGTAGAAAGAAAGGATATGGATACAATGACTTACACAGGTCAGAAAGTGATCATGACTACACAAAAAGGCTCTGCAAATGTCTTGGGAGTTTAGAGATGATGGCATGCATCTAGGGATGTCATAAAGGTGGTTTCAAACATTTTTTTAAAAAAGCAGAAAGATAGAATAGAAAATTCTCTGTAAGTAGAATAAGTAACATGAAAAATTCACAGAACCGGAAGAATGCAGTTTGGAAAGGCCACGCATGTCCTCTGGTTTTGAGTGGAAGGTGGTGCAAATAACACCATAAAATGGTGAAATAACAAGCCAAAACAAGACATTTCTGTACTACTCTTATTACTTGATGAATGTTATTTCTCTTCTGTCTTTCAAATTTCAATTCTCAATTTTTAAAGAAGTAATGTCTGTGGACTGCAACTCATTAAAAGGTAAGACGGCAATCATAATAGGTTTACTCTTTTTTGTTGTTTTAAGGGTAGCTTTGATGAAGAATATAATCCATTTTTTTTTACTTTTCAAGACTGTCTTCACAAAAACTAGGGAAGTGCTTATTTTAGTATCAATGAAAACATTAGAAATCGTCAGTATTGTAGAGCTCAGGTATATCCCATGAGAAAACCATTAGAAAGTGAAAGAACCCATGAATGTCTGCTGTAAGGTTCAAGCTAGGCATTGGCATCAGAGAGAGGAAGATTTGTAAATGCCTTGCACAGGGCAGATTTTTCAGGGAAATCCTGTACTTGGTGGATGACAACGTTAAAACTGGCCTGTTTTTATTTTGCAACAACCTGAGACAGTCTGAGAAACCAGTGTCTGTTATGTCCTATATGTGAAAGAGTAACAATATGCAGGGTTTACCTGTTATCGCAAAGCGCAGAGAGACAGTGAGAAGCTTACCAGTAGGTAACTGCCAAAAACAAACTTCACACAAATATTGTGAGTGAAGAACATCGGACTTGGATTGACAAACAAAATGGCAACCTGTTTAAGTTTGGATGACAGATCTGTCCTTAGCTATGTGACCTTGTGCAAACTCTGAATCTTCTCAGCTTCAGTTTCCTTCTCTTTCGGATAGGAATAATAATGTCTGCCAAATCTATTTCAAAGGGTGCTGTGAGGGTCAAAAAAGATAGTGGATGTAGGATGGTTCGAAAGTCATAACTTGCTAAAATTAATAATTATGTTACAATTATTTCAATGTGGTTTTAATATGTGAATCTACAGAATTACTTGACTTGTATTATTGTGATGTAGGCAAATGTCTTACGTTATCTTTCTTCAGTTTCCTTATCTGAAAAATTAGGATAATATTATCTACCTCTAAGGTTGTTATGAGAATTGGATGAATTAAAAATTATACAATGCTTGAACAATACTTTGCATATATTATGCTTCATTTAAGTATCCGTTTAATTAATTATCAACCTATGAGTATTTTGAACAGGACTTCATATATTGAAATAACCTAATAAACTAGAAAAAACAATGTTTAAAATACAGATTAGGCTTCTTGAATGAGAAACACCTGGGGTACTTTTGCCTTATGCATATTTCCAGGAATTACCATAGACCACGTAAGTCAAGATTCCTTGAGGCTAGGACCTAGGAATCTGCATTTTGTTTTATTTCTTGGGTGGTTCTTATTCCCGGCAAAGTTCTAGAACCATTGAGCTAGAATTTATTTTGAACGTTTATCCACTAACAATTGCCATGGTTTGAATGTGTGTCCCTATCAAATTTCATGTGGAATTGTAATGCCCAATGTTGAAGGTGGAACCTACTGGGATCTGATCATGGGTGCAGTTTCTCATGAATGGTTTAGCATCATTGCCTTGCTGCTGTTCTTGTGATACTGAGTGAGTGAGTGAGTTATCACGAAATCTGTTATTTTTTAAGTGTGTAGTATCTCCCCCTTTTCTTTCTCCTGCTCACAGCTGTGTGAGGTGCTGGCTCCCCCTTCGCCTTCTGCTGTGATTCTAAGTTTTCTAGGCTCTCCCCAGAAGCCAAGCAGACGCCAGCATCATGCTTCCTATACAACCTGCAGAACCACGAGCCAATTAAAATTCTT